TTTGTGAGCAAGTTTGGCCAGCTTTTGAGTGAAATAAATGAGATCAGAATCCATGTATTCAAAAAATGTAATGCTTTGTTTATAGTAATTTTGCTTTAGTATATTAATTGAATTGAATAGCTGTGTGGGAAAGCTTCAGGTGATCTGGGATCTCCTACCCAAATAGAATTGGAGTGGTGTAGTCAAGAGCAGTTTAAAAAGCACCCCTTTGTCCTATTACACAGGTAATTGGTAAGGGTTTGGGTATATGTCACAGGCCGGGGCGAGCGCCAGCGGGCCGCCTGCCCCTAGCTTGCGTACCGCCCCTGAGGAGACAGACACAGAATTGAAAATAAATTTGTTCTTTATTAAATAATAAAAACAATATTAGTAGTCTCTTGAGCATTCTCTCTTTCGGGACACTCGTCTTTGGGGCTCAGACAGAGGGAGATCTGAACATAAATGAACGTAACTCAGCAGTTTCAGACAGAGAGGAATGAACATAGTTCACAGTTTCCGCGTTCTCTTCTTCAGCGTTCTCTTCTTCGGGGCTCAGACAGAGGGAGATATGAACATAAATGAACGTAACTCAGCAGTTTCAGACAGAGAGAGGAATGAACACAATTCACAGCTTCCGCGTTCTCTTCTTCAGCGTTCTCTTCTTCGGGGCTCAGACAGAGAGAGATATGAACATGGATGAACGTAACTCAGCAGTTTCAGACAGAGAGAGGAAAATTGGCATTGGAGGAAAAACATATGATTTGATTAAGAACATGTATACAAAAAGTGAATGTGCCATAAAGATTACAGTTAAACTTGTATTAACTTTACTTGTACTGCCATCTTTTGTGAGCAAGTTTGGCCAGCTTTTGAGTGAAATAAATGAGATCAGAATCCATGTATTCAAAAAATGTAATGCTTTGTTTATAGTAATTTTGCTTTAGTATATTAATTGAATTGAATAGCTGTGTGGGAAAGCTTCAGGTGATCTGGGATCTCCTACCCAAATAGAATTGGAGTGGTGTAGTCAAGAGCAGTTTAAAAAGCACCCCTTTGTCCTATTACACAGGTAATTGGTAAGGGTTTGGGTATATGTCACAGGCCGGGGCGAGCGCCAGCGGGCCGCCTGCCCCTAGCTTGCGTACCGCCCCTGAGGAGACAGACACAGAATTGAAAATAAATGTGTTCTTTATTAAATAATAAAAACAATATTAGTAGTCTCTTGAGCATTCTCTCTTTCGGGACACTCGTCTTTGGGGCTCAGACAGAGGGAGATCTGAACATAAATGAACGTAACTCAGCAGTTTCAGACAGAGAGGAATGAACATAGTTCACAGTTTCCGCGTTCTCTTCTTCAGCGTTCTCTTCTTCGGGGCTCAGACAGAGGGAGATATGAACATAAATGAACATAAATGAAATAGAATTGGAGTGGTGTAGTCAAGAGCAGTTTAAAAAGCACCCCTTTGTCCTATTACACAGGTAATTGGTAAGGGTTTGGGTATATGTCACAGGCCGGGGCGAGCGCCAGCGGGCAAAGATTGGAAACAAACAAACAGCGTTCTTCTCCCAGGGCCGGGGAGTGAGGCAGGGATGCAATCTCAGTCCAATTCTCTTCAATCTATACATCAATGAATTAGCAACCCAATTAGAGAGTTCCACGGCACCTGGCCTCACCCTGAACAACACCGAGATCAGAGGCCTGCTGTATGCAGATGACTTAGTGTTACTCTCACCTACTAGAGAAGGTCTGCAGCAGCACCTTAACCTCCTGCAGAGATTCTGCCAGACCTGGGCCCTGACAGTCAACACAGTAAAGACTAAGATAATGATCTTTCAGAAACAATACAGAAATCAGGTTACACACAATTTCTATTTGGACACCACTAAATTACAACACACAAAAAACTACACTTACCTTGGCCTCGACATTACATACACAGGCAACCTCAACATGGTTGTGAAAGATCTGAGGGACAAAGCAAGGAGAGCTTTCTATGCAATAAAAAGAAACATTAAAATCTATATTCCAATTGAAATCTGGCTTAAAATTTTCCAATTTGTACTAGAACCAATAATTCTATATGGTAGTGAAATTTGGGGGCCAAAACTTAATAATGAATTTGACAAATGGGACAAAACAATCATAGAATCTTTCCATACTGAGTTCTGTAAGAGCATCCTACAGGTGCAGAGAAAAACCCCGAATAACCTGTGCAGAGCAGAGCTCGGCCAATACCCCCTCTTACTAAAGATACAGAAAAGATCAATTAAATTTTACAATCACTTAAAATCAGTTAACCCCCAGTCATATCATCACAAAGCCCTAACACACCAGGAGCTGAAAGCAGAACAGAGTCCCCTCAGCCAGCTGGTGCTGAGGCTCTCTGCAGTAACCAGTCCCCAACAGCCTCAGGACAGCAATGCCAACTCAAGACCAAACCAAATTATCAACAAGCAGAAAGAAAAATATATTGAATACTGGAAAGAAACGACCAAAACACAAAGTAAATTACAACTTTATCTGACCCTAAAAAGAGAATTCACACTGGCAAATTACCTGAGTACAATAAAATGTCCTAAACTAAGAAAAATGTTGACAACGTACAGACTGAGTGAACACAGCCTGGCCATAGAGACGGGTCGGCACAGACAGAGCTGGCTCCCACTAGAGGAGAGACTCTGCTCCCAGTGTGACCGGGGACAGGTCGAGACAGAGCTGCACTTTCTAACCTCATGCCCCAAATATAATACACTAAGACAAAAACACTTCCCAAACATTTCCCAAATATACCCTGAATTCGAATCCATATCAGACACACAGAAAATCCCATATTTACTAGGAGAAATGCCCAAATGTGAGATAATTGCTGCAAAATATGTCTCCTCATGCCATGAAATGAGGACAACCAGTGGAACCTCAGATGGATAAATAATTGTATAAATGTTCAAATAATTATTATTTTGATTGTTTGATATTTTAGTAATTGTTTTATTTTATTTTTTATTGTTCACTTTTATTTATCTATATGTTTGTATATGTCTATTGCTTTGGCAATATTGTGCTATTGTACACATTCATGCCAATAAAGCTCATTTGAATTGAATTGAATTGAGAGGAATGAACATCAGCGTTCTCTTCTTCGGGGCTCAGTCAGAGAGAGATATGAACATGCTGGGACCGCGAGTGAACAGCAGCAACACCATTCCCACACTCGCATATTCACCAATACACTGTAAGATTTCACTCGTGCTCACAATAGAACTGCAATTCAACAGACTCACTGTGCAATCAAGGCTTACACCCGCAATCCAGCTGAAATCTCTTCTCTCTCGTTCTCTCGTTCTCTCGTTCTCTCTCCCGCTCTCTCCCGCAGCCCCCCCTCCGCTGCTTCGGCCTCGGCCCTCGGCCTCTCACCTACTGCGTGCACCCCCTCCGCCGCTCATGGCTGGCGCGTCTCCCTTTTATAATCCATTTTGGAAACCGCGTCCCAATGGCCAGCCCAAACTCTCCTCCTCTCACACCTGTCAGCAATTCCACTCATCAATTTCCCCAATCGGCCATAACACACGGGGAAAACCGGAACCGGCTTGGTGTTGCACCGGAAGTGCTCCCCCGTAACAACAACTTCCGTGAACAGGGTTCCGGCCACCCCGTGACATATACTATATTGGGTATTTGGGTCATGATTGAGTATAAAAAAAGCATCTCAGTCTTTGCAAGAAAATATGGGTCATGGCTCACCACTTTGTGCCAAATTTCATGAGAGAATTGTCAAACAATTCAAAAATCACATTTCTCAATGCAAGATTGCAAAACATTTAGGTCTTTCACCATCTACCATACATAATATTGTAAAAAGATTAAGGGAATCCAGTAAAATCTCAGTCTGTGTCAGGCAAGGCATCAATAAATGCAACTTGAATCTCTGTTACACAAGGAGAAAGCTATACATCTATTCAATGGAGAGATCCCGCCGAGTTCTCTGTGCCCGAGCTCATCTCAGATGATCCAAAAGACAGTGGAAATGTGTACTGTGGTCAGATGAGTCCTTGTTTCAGCTTCTTTTTTGTTTTTGTATTGTATATCTAAACATGTAACTTAATAAATAACTTTGCCTGCTTTAAAATCCTTGAGAATCTCTTTTTTCACCACTGATAATGTTGAAAGCTGTAACTTATCAGCCTCATCAGCCCTGTGAAGGCCTCATCGACACGACAGCCATCGGCACTGATCCTCAACAACTCGTCTCCATACCGGCGTGATTACTTCGATTTCCAAACAGATGGAAATGGATAAATACTCTAAATGTTCCGGGTTCTCCCAAGAGTCTGGGTTCGAGACTCGGACTCTCCCAAGAGTCCAAGTCTGGGTTCTCCCAAGGTTTTTTTCTCCATTCTCTCATCTGATGGAGTTTTGGTTCCTTGCCACTGTTGCCTTGGCTTTTGGCTTGCTTAGTTAGGGACATTAAATATTCAACAATATTATTGATCTGCCTTACTTAATGACAAGGACAAACTTTATCACTGTGAAGCTGCTTTGATACAATCTGTATTGTAAAAAGCGCTATATAAAGGTGACTTGACTTGACTTACATTATCTACACGTTCAGGTTGAAACCTACGTTTACCTATCAGTTCCAAGAAAGACTTCTACATTTAAAGAAGGTTAAAACTAACAACTTTAATGGAGTTAGATTAATTTTATTGGAGTGAGATAAATAACTGAATTATGCAGCAGAGCTATGCATGCTATCCTTCAACTGCTTTTTGTTCCTATAAATGGTTCAAAATAGCAGCTTCCACTCTTACAGTAAAAACTCAAATCATGAAACTGTTTCTAAACGACTATTTGAGCAAAACTATTTGCACCTGAATAATTGAGAGGGATTGTAAGTGTGATGAGCATCTGCTAAATGAGCAACAACGTCCACAATTCACACCTTCAGTCAGTGAAGCCGCTCCCACTGCCGTTCATGAGAGCTTAAATGCTGGAGAATATGTCCATTTTCCCAAAGGAGAAAAAGCAGCAAGCAGGAGGAATTACTCCAGGAGAAACTACTGACATACTGTAAAGATGGAGTTTGAGGAAGAAACCTGCATAATAAAAGATGAAGATACAGAGGAACAAATAGGTTGGTGTTTTCCTTCATTCTCTTCAATGACTGATGAGGAACATTAAGATTGAGATTTTGAACAATATTTATTTTTGTTTCTCATCTGTCCTTTTATTAAATTATTAGATTGTAATATGTTGATTTTAGATCTTATGGAAGTGAAAGAAGACAAACAGCTTCAGTTTCAAAAACCTCATCATTTCACAAATGAAGATGGAAACAGATTTGTTATACAGACTAAAAAGAGTTTCACACAAAAACAATCTGGAAAAACTGGAGTCAAAGGATCTTTCTCCTGCTCTGACTGTGGAAAGAGTTTCAGACATAAAGGAGACTTTAATGAGCACATGAAATATCATACTGGAGAAAAACTGTTTACATCCACTCAGTGTGGAAAGAGTTACGGACACAAATCAAACCTTAATAGACACATGAGAATTTACACTGGAGAGAGGCCTTATACATGCACTCAGTGTGGAAAAAGTTACATTTACAAAGGACACCTAACTCAGCACAGGAGAATTCACACAGGAGAAAAACCATTCACATGCACTCAATGTGAAAAGAGTTTCAGGTACAAAAACTTACTCAAAGATCATCTGCGCTCTCACACTGGAGTGAGATCGTTCAGCTGTGATCAGTGTGATAAAACATTTGTTTTTTCATCAATCTTAAGAACACACCTTAAAACTCATGCTGCTGTGAAGTCTCATGTCTGTTCTTTATGTGGAAAGAGTTTTTTACAACTGAGCTATTTAAAAGAGCATGAGCGTATTCATACTGGTGTGAGACCTTATATGTGCTCTGACTGTGGGAAGACCTTCATTACATCGGACAAATTAAAAACACACCAGAGAATTCATACTGGAGAGAAACCATACAAGTGCTCACACTGTGGAAAGAGTTTCTCTCAGTTAGGACACCTGAAAGATCATGGGAGAATTCATACTGGAGAGAAGCCGCACCAGTGCTCTTCATGTGGGAAGAGTTTCACTCAATTATCTAATCTACGGACTCACAACAAAAAGTATTGCCCGAAGTTGTCTAAGTGAACAAAGTTAAGATCCATAACTTGTAAATAATTTGATATACAGATTAACCAAAAGCTTGAATTACCTTTAATAAAGTAATTTAAAATTAGTAGTGAAGTTTGATTTTTTGAAAAGGGGAACCTTTGGGGAAGGTCAAAATGGTTGTGTATTGCATTCTAAGTGTTGCATGTTCTGTCCTTACAACACCCTGTATTGGTCCTCCTGAGACAAAAACTCTAACACTCTCCTTTAAAGTTTTAGAAGAGATCTCAACAACGTCACACACTGTGCTCAGATTTGTCTCCTTAGCTAGAGACACTGGATCGCTCACATTTGTCTCCTCTAAAGTTTAGAAGAGATCTCAACAACGTCACACACTGTGCTCAGATTTTCTCCTTTGCTAGAGACACTGGGTATTCTCTATTCTCTTATTGTGTGTCAGCAATTAAGAGTAACGTTAACCTTATTTCTGCATAACTTTACTCTTAATATAGGCTTAAACTTTGAATTTATGGATTATTTTTTTTTACTTTAGTGCCTTGCACAATTTGTAAAGTTGTTGACAATATTTTATCTGTAGAGAGGTAAAGGTAGGGAGGCCTTCACAGGGGAGAGACTAGTGGACACTTCAGGACTGCGTTGTCGTCGTTTCCAGGCGCTGGTCCTTCATCAGATCTGGATACGACCTGGATCCGGCGGACTGCGGTTAACCTCGGGATAACAGAGAGACTAATATTAGCGTAGATGCCATCCTTCTTATTATGTACCAAGTACATCAGGATTTATGGGAAGTGTTCCCGGTTCCGGCTGATCTAAACTATGCAGCCTAACATTGAATTATAGAAGTTTATAATGTGTTATGTGTATGCTAGGCCAAATAGATGTGTTTTTAGTCTAGATTTGAACTGACAGACTGGGTCTGCTTCCCGGACAATGTTAGGAAGACTGTTTCAAAGTTTTGGGGCTAAATAGGAAAAGGATCTACCGCCAGCAGTCGATTTTGATATTCTAGGTATTGTCAACTGGCCGGAATTTTGAGATCGCAATAGACGAGGGACTATAATGCGTTAAGAGCTCGCTCAAGTACTGCGGAGCTAAACCATTTAGTGCTTTGTAAGTAATCAGCAATATTTTAAAATTTATACGATGTTTAATAGGGAGCCAATGCAGTGTTGACAGAACCGGGCTAATATGGTCATACTTCCTGGTTCTGGTAAGAACTTTAGCGGCTGCATTTTGGACCAGCTGTAGTTTCTTTACTAAACGTGCAGGGCAACCACCCAATAGAGCATTACAATAATCTAGCCTTGATGTCATGAACGCATGAACTAATTGTTCTGCATTTTTAATTGAGAACATATGACGTAATTTAGATATATTTTTAAGATGAAAAAAATGCGGTTTTACAGATACTAGGAACATGACTTTCAAATAAAAGATTGGTATCAAAGAGCACACCCAGGTTCCTAACCGACGACTAGGACTTGACAGAGCAGCCATCAAGTGTTAGACAGTATTCTAGGTTATTACGTGAGGAAGTTTTTTGTCCAATAATTAGAATCTTTGTTTTTTTCAGAATTAAGTAGTAGGAAATTGCTAGTCATCCAGTTTTTTATTTCAGCTATGCATTCCGTTAATTTTGTGGATTGGTAAATTTCGTCATGGCATGAAAAAATATAGAGCTGAGTATCATCAGCATAACAGTGATAACTAATGCCATGCTTCCTAATGATATCTCCTAAGGGTAGCATGTACAGAGTGAACAGCAATGGTCCTAGTACTGAGCTTTGTGGTACAACATACTGAACTTTTGACCGATAAGACATCTCTTCATCTACTGCTTCAAACTGATAACGGTCAGATAAGTATGATTTACCCCATGCTAGTGCAATTCCACTAATGCCAACATAATTTTCGAGTCTATTTAAAAGAATTGTGTGGTCGATAGTGTCAAATGCAGCACTAAGATTGAGTAACATCAATAGAGAGATACAACCACGATCGGATGATAAGAGCAAATCATTTGTGACTCTAATGAGAGCTGTCTCAGTACTATGATACGGTCTAAATCCTGATTGAAAATCCTCGCAGATACCATTTCTTTCTAAAAAGGAACATAAGACAAATCAGACACAAAATTATTTGGAATCTGTAACGACTGAGACAAATCAGACACAATTATTTGTTATAGTTAAAATTGTCCTTCTTATAAGTTCAACTTCCAGCCCACATAGGGGTGGAGGGGAATGAGATGGCTGATATACAGTATATGCCAAGAAAGCAGCAGGTAAAGACAACATTGATGTTGACATAAAATACAGCAAAGCAGAGGTTAAGAGCATTATTAAAACAAGAATTTATGAAAAATGGCAATTCTTTTGGGATAATGAATCCTTTGGGAGTCATCTTTTTAATATACAGCCTAAAGTAAAAAGATTGCAGATTTAGTTAGAACTAGACATGAGGAAGTAGTGTTGTCCAGGCTGAGAATTGGGCATACCAGACTTAAAGGTGCAGTGTGTAATTTTTAGCGGCATCTAGTGGTGAGGTTTGTGAATTGCAAACCGCCAGTCACTCACGACTTGCCCCTCCCTTTGCAAACACGAATGAGTAGCTATGGTGGCCTACGTAGGATAAAATATGTCGTCGTCTGAGACAGCAGAGAGTAGCAAGTCAAGCAATGCGGTTTCTTTATATTACATTATATCTTAATTATTCAGTAAAACCACATGTTATTGCGAATGTTAATTTTACTTGTTCACCATTGTGTTAGCTATTATCTTGTACTAACTAGCATGGAAACAAGGTAGGTAAAGTCAGTGAATAAAACACTATGTATAAGAGCATCAAAGCAGCTGGTAAATAGCTAACGTTACGATGTCCGAGGCGTCGTTCAGACAGCATGTTTTTCGCCACGTTTGCAGAGTCAGGGACAACCTGTACCAGAGTAAACTGGAAGAGGGAGAAGGAGAGGGAGAGGAAGAGGGCGAGGGCGGACAGGCAGAGGTGTTGGAGGTGCAGTCAGGGCAAGGAGAGGCAGAGGACCTACCTGGAGTGATGGCTCAATAGAGGACGAAGAAAGAGTGGAAGCCCTCCAAAGGAACCGGAGAGCTGTTACCGAGGTTTGTATTTATAAAGTTATTGTAACGTTATTATATTATGACCTGTTTGCACTTTATGACAAACCCCAGGACACAGTAATAACGTTATTTACATAGCAGCTCTGTGCACAAGTACCCCCGGTACTGTAACGTTAGTTAGTAGTATTTGAATGTTTTCATAGTGTAACATGTCATTTGCTGGGCAACAATGATGATTTATATGAATCCATATTATACAAGTTGAGCAAACACTGGCCAGCCTGCAAACCCTAATATGCAGTAACATATTGACAACATAATGTCATGCAACTTATAAATTCTGAATCAGAAATTCTTTATTGATACCCGATGGGAAAATTCTTGGTCACAATTGCTAAGCTTGCATGTCAAGATACTAAGGAAAAGAAATAACTATATAAAGTAGGAAATATAATTAAATATACAAACTATAAAATACTGGTAAAGGTAATGTGGACATGTAAAGTAATTTACAGCATCAACAGAAGTGTAATGATAAATAGTAGTAGTGAATTAAATACTAATAGTAATAATGAGTACTGGTATAGTTCATTTGAAATGGATACAATCTTAAAAACAACATTATTGAGACATAGTATTGAAGCAGAGAATATTGCATATTGAGTATGTAAGGAATTCAGCTCAGATTAGGGGAATGTGTTAGCCTGGATGCCAGCCCGAACCCCGCCCACAACATTTTTTGGTCGGGAAGTTCGGTCTGGACTCGATCCATTGAGGAGTAATTATGATCGGTTCAGAATTAGTCGGGCCAATCTAATTGCCAGGGCGGGGTTTATACGATGATGGACAGATGATCTGCAGTTACGTAATCATTGCATTATCAAAGAGCGCTTGGGTTGAACTGGTTTCCCTCAAAGGTGACTGCAGCTGGAGAATTGAGATGTATAGATTCTGTTGTAAAAGAAATCGACAGCGCATTCATTTTAAAAGATGAACAGAGAACTGCAATCAAGGCATTTGTCGATCGGAAAGATGTGTTTGCCGTCCTTCCTACGGGATTCGGCAAAAGTTTATTTTATCAGCTGGCTCCGATGGTCGCTAAGAAGATAAGACGCAATGAAAACCCTGTGGTCGTTGTGGTTTCTGGAGAGAATCGGTTACGCTGTAAAGGTGTCAGGAATCAATTTAAACTTCAGACTTGCTAGCGCAAGTTACTGACAAGTAACAGACAAGTTCCCTGATCCTCAAGGACACTACACGGGGTTTATTCCTGGACTGTGAATTTCCTTTCAGGCCCTCTGGCATGGTCATACAGTTTCACACAAGTACTCACAAACCTGCCTCAGCATCATCAAGGCATCAAACAAATGTACAAAGTTAACATTTGATTTATTATTACATTTCTATATATAATTATTCATATTTCTCCACTCTTTATTTAAATTTGATGTATGTTTTATAGTTATATATTGTGTTATAGTTGTTCAACTGCAGTTCCCTTTCGAGGGAACTCGCGATGCGTCAACGACGCTTTGGGAACGCCCCCAGCGTGAATGCGTCTGAGCATCAATGTCAACTAGTCCAATGGAAAGAATGAGCGTCACGGGCGGGTGACGTCATGACCAGGAAGGGATAAAAGCACATCCGGTGCAAACTGGCATTAGCTTCTGTGTCTCAGCAAGCGATCTGTGTTACTCTGTCTCTGTCTATTTATTGTTGTCTGTTGCATATATATTGGAAAGAGTTATGGCGAAACAAATGTACAAACAGTGTGCTTCTCCCTGCCCGCGTTATTTAACGGGTGGGGACACACACGAGCTTTGTGTCGTTTGTTTGGGAGTGGAGCATGCGGTCTCAGCCTTCGAGGGGGCTGAGTGTCAGCATTGTGAGATGCTTCCGCTTCGCATGCTCCGCTCTCGCCTGTCACTCTTTGACGAGAGT